AATAGGCCCGGCGAGCGGACCAAACGTGCACACAATGCCTCACCGGGTGATTCCAAATTCATGGAAAATAGCTGCCCCGGCCGCCGGCGCCCCGTATGGAAATCGTATGGGACGCGTCCAATTGGCGAGCAGATTCACGCAGAATGGCCCCAGGCGATTATTGGGGGTACACGGCGTCGATGGGAGGGGGAGGGGTGCGCGTGGCACGTGCAACCGGGATAAGGAAGTTGTATACTGGCTGTGGGCTGTGATTTGTGAATGGTTGTGCCGGTTGTATTCTGGAGCTAGAGGCTGTATCAAGGCCACTTCAGATTATTATTATTATTATTATTGTTATTGTTTCAGTATTATTAGTATTCCAGTATTTATCATTTATGGCCGAACAGCTCTGCTTGAGCCGCATTTCAAAGCCTCAAAGCATACAAACGTTTGTTTTTTAAAACTGCTCCTAAACTCTGAAGAAATATTAGCTCAATTCAGTTTGACGTATACCTAGCAAATTGCATAATATGCTTAATGTTTGACTCGACATCGCAGCGCTGGGTGAGAAAAACTTAGATAAAATTTAAGTTTTTTTAAGTTTTAAATGAAGTAAAAACGTTACTTGCCGGCAAGCCACTCCCGTCAACCATATTCACTCAAATAGGAATATTTTTGCGGCATTAAATCATAAATGCGCTATATCTGAATCAATGCCACCGAACTCATTACCACATCCCTAAAAAGCCCAACCGGACCATCATCGCGCTATTAGCACGTGCACGTGGCGGATTTTCGCACCCGCGCTACCGGATCTGCTAGCCTGATCACAGCCGCCGCACGTGCGCACGTGCGCAGCCCATAGTTGGGGCAAGCCGAGAGAGGAAAGGCCGCGCCTGGGGGGGGGGGGGGCAGCGGGAGGAGAGGGGATCTGAGGGGCACCCGAGCGCGAGACCATTGAATACGGAGCGACGAGAGCGGCAGGCCGACCCGTCGTCGGTCCAGGAACAAATAGTCGTCACCGACGCGACGGCAGAGGGGAGGAAGGGAGGGAGAGAGGGGGGAGGGTCGCGGAACAATGAGGGACAGGTGCACGGGACCAGCGCCGTTTACTAAACACTTGTTGTGTTATGGAAATCAGCCGTTCGGGAAGAGAGAGAGAGAGAGAGAGAGAGAGAGAGAGAGAGAGAGAGAGAGAGAGAGAGAGAGAGAGAGAGAGAGAGAGAGGGAGAGGGAGGGAGGGAGAGAGAGGGAAGGAGGGGGAAAGAGAGTGAGGGAAGCAGGGGGGAGAGAGAGAGAGAGAGAGAGAGAGAGAGAGAGAGAGAGAGAGAGAGAGAGAGAGAGAGAGAGAGAGAGAGAGAGAGAGAGAGAGAGAGAGAGAGAGAGAGAGAGAGAGAGAGAGAGAGAGAGAGAGAGAGAGAGAGAGAGAGAGAGAGAGACGCGTGATTTAATCGCAGCTTCGTCGAACGGCCACAAAGTATAAAAGACGATTGATTGGAGTGATTCGGATCGGAGAGTTTCGTTGAAACCAACACTAGACCGACATCGTTTCCAGCAGATACGAGCATCTGAACCGTCGTATGTCATAAAACAATCGAGAATGAGCTTCGAATTTACTCCGAAGATACGTAATCGAAGCAGCTCAAAAAGGCTGAAAATAAATAGAGAAACACAATTCGAACGAATAGTGTTTGTCTCTTTTTAGCAACCTGCACGGTTAACCATACATATTACATAAAGATCAACAAATGCTTACTTAACTGTTAACCCACCTCGAATATTGTTGTTGAATCGACATGAGTGTGCCCCGCGCTTACAACAGCGAATTTATGCTCGTTGCTTGGACAGTCCAACTAATCTTGGGAGGATTGTAACACGAACATGACCTTTTTGCAACTTTGATGTAGGTCAAATCCGGCCAAACATGGTCTCGAGAAACAGGTCACTCACATATAATTTAGGTCAGGGCCATTAAATTTTCAGGGTATGCGTAAAATTGATAAACTCGAGGGTGCTGAAAGTTTCGGCGCGATCAGCTGCTTTTTGCGCGAGTTATTTGCGAAAAACATAGGGGTCCGTTCGACCCCCCCCCCCCCCCCCAGAAGTGCAAGGGTAAAGACAACCATGCATATATCGTGACACGTTTTGAGCTAGCCCTTGAAATGGTAAATGAAGGAATAAACCGGTTTTAGTTTCCAGCAGTGGTAATATATTCCGTACCTTAGGAATGAAAGGGGGTGCTCCGTGCTCATCATGCCTATCACTTGACGAACTTAAAATAATGAATAATTTATGCATCAGAGTATATTTCATATAACTTCTGTGCAAGTCACATATAATAAGTTTAGAATAAATTCCTAAGAAAGCGATAGGATCACATTCCTTCTTTATAGACACTTAGCCTTCGAGGAATTCGGAAGGTTAACTGGGCAGTAAAGGCATTCACAACGGCGAGTGCGGTAGCTTTGCGCACAATTGGAGCACGACAATGGGTCCGGAAACCCGATGAAGCGGCGCCACCTGAGTCACTTGGGGCTGCACGTGACCTGCCACCTGTGAGATTATTTTTTGTGACCGCAGGAGGTGAAACAAAAGCGCCCCAGCCGTCGCCACTTTTATCTCTTCCGTATTGTCGGCCACGAAATCAGCGATTTAGCGTCGAAGAATCGTGCTGGTTTCCATTTTTTTTCAAATCGTTTGTTCACGTGTTCACAGCAATACAGAAAACTCGCCGCTGCTTCCGAAATCGATGCAGAGGAGTGCAAAAACCTATTTTCAGGACTTTGAGGAAAACAAGAGTTATCAAGAAACAGCGAGATCGAGTCCGAATCTGACAACTCTTCATCCGCTGCTGATGGTCCAGGCCTTGAAAAGTCAACTTGAAAAATTGACCTCAGGTCAAGGTCATGACCTGACCGAAAATGGTCATGTTGCTTATCAGTCGATCCGTATCGTCGAGCTGATCACTAAGGCGTTTTAATTGCTCTAGCATGCCTCTATCAGAGTTATTTGCGAAAACTCTTAGATACCATTCGTGACCTGAGGTGACCTCGAGGGCATAAACAGGGGTCACGGATACCATTTTCATGTTCAGTGTGTCTACGTTACTTGTAATTCAGTGTTTGGGAGTGTTTATAATGGCTTTCGTCCAAAAGCGGCGCATTTCAGTTTTCTCTCATTGACATTGAATCATGGGAGGTCGCAAAATTGACCTGACCTTAGGTCACCGATATCAAAATGCTGAGATATAAATTTTGTACAGGTCTCGCGGGTTTTAGCGGTAGGTTTTGCACCTAAAAAATTTGGTGTACTTCAGGCTTCGTCGTCTTAAGCTTTTAACCCGCGAGTTGCTGGGGGGGGGCGTTAAACGCCCCCACTTTTTTCGCCGGGCCATAGCATAAAAACGGCGCGCCGCAGGCGCGCCAAATTTTGGGTACCTGTAGGGAATTGATTGAAGTTTATTGTGACAAAGTTTCAAAAAAATCGGTCTGAATATTTTTGAGATATCGAGGTTTTAGTGACGTCATGATTTCTGAGTTTTCGACCAAAAACGGCATATGTTCAAAAAATCATATAAAATCACAGAATAGACATACAGACATGCCGTAAACGCCATTAGACTGCCAATACCATGGTCAATCAAATGGCTATCTTAGATTATTGATTATCGTTCCGCATTTTCCATAATCTTGAACTGAATCTTGGCAATTTTTCGTGACTACTTCACGACCATGATACATGAATTTCTTAAATTGAACTTTTTGAGCCAAACACGTACACATATGATAAAATGAATGTCACCATCGTGTTCTACGCCCCAAATTACCTATAAAACATGTGTCACAGGCTGCGAATATCAGTTTTGATTTTCGGGGATATGTGCCTACCCGGTTGACCTGACCTTGACCCTGACCTATGCTTGATTGACCCATACATGGAGCTGACACTCTTGTAGGCCTTATAAGATGGATTGTGCACCGTTTTGACAGAGTTTATGGCGAGAGGCGCCCATTGCGAAGTCCTGAAGTCCATGCTACTGAAAGCCCGATTTCAGGTGTTTGACCTGACCTTGACCCGACCTGTGACCTCAAAATTCAACTTTAAAGTACTCATCTGAATTGTCTCGTCGCGCTCTTTCGTTTGCCGCCTCGTGCGTTTCGCTGCGCCTATTGGTTCTCGAGTTATCGGCTGGGGGCGTTTAACGCCCCCCCCCCCCCCCCAGCAAACGGTGGGTGGCGAAATACCCCAGCAACTGCCGGGTTAAGTGTTGAAGATGCGATCGACTTGTTGGTTCACAAGCCGGCCATGATCGTATAAAATTGTTTCATCGTAGATCGATTAGTTTCTGAGATATAACCGAAAATGTCATAGTGCAAAACCTACCGCTTAATCTCGCGAGAGCCGTACATGCTATAGTTCTTAGCAACCACTGAAAGCTTCAAAGCGATCGGTCACTCGGTGTAGCTATAGCAGACATTGAAGCTTTTTATGAGGTGAGGTCACTCCAAGTGACCTGTGACCTGACCTTGAATGAGCTTGGTCTGAAATTTTCACAACATGTGTAGAATCGATGTATGATAAAGTGTGCAAAAAAAAAAAACACAAGGGGGTGTTCAACCCCCCCCCCCTCTCCCCCAGCAGGGCGCGGGTTTACGACACTCGAGGTGACACTATAGTTGTTTTGTTTTCAATGAATATATTAAATATACAAGATGAGAATTGGGATAAGATATGCAATTGAGTACAATATTAATTATTCACTAATACTTACAATATTAGTGAATCGTGTACATTGTACATACACTGTACTATTTGCTCAACAAATAAACCGAAGAATTCAGAGCATTGAACTTTTTTCGGTGCCTGTCAGTTTTTGCAGGATTTCGTTTCACGGGACGACAGGCTGGCAGTGTAGCTTGCTCAATACATAGATACGCTATGGGACGAATTTACAACGCAAGCCGAAATGTCACAGAAACAGAAAAAAAAAACGCGGAATTCATAATCAATATTCAATAAAATCATGCTAGCGTAACATAGGCTTTACAGTGCGCCGGTGCCGTCCGACGAGACAGGTGGTAGACCAGAGCGCGCGCGGCCATCATCACAGAGAGGAGGGCCGTGATGCCGCTCAGCCACGTCGCCAGGACGGGGAAGCCCCAGAAGTCTGTCACCAGACCGCCGAGCATCGGGCCCAGTGCGTTACCCGCAGCGAACGTAAAACCACACAGAGAGGTGAGGAGCGCGTGGCTGCGGATATCGTCCGGCATACCGCGCGACACTAAGAGTCTCACCAGGAGGGGCAGCAGGGGCAGGTTGACGCCCATCTGAAACACCTCGCGCAGTGTCATCCCCACTCCCAGCAGAAGACGGGACGGTAGAAGACCGAGCAGAGGCGAGGGAGGGATGAGCAGGATGCCGAGCGCTACCAGCGCCAGGCAGCCGGCCTCTAGCACGAACGTGTTGTCGATGGAGTCCGAGAGTCGACCCCACAGCAGGCTGGAGAGTCCGAATCCGGCAAACGATCCCATAAAGAAGAGGCTCAGCTCCGGAAGCTCCATGTTGAGCGTGTCGAGCGCATATGGTGCAAGAGAGTTGTCGATGCCATTCCAATTGACGGCCACCGAACAGGAAGCCGCTAAAATGAGCCAGCTGTCGGCGTTGGAAAGTGCGAACAGCAGGCTGTCGCGGTAGTTTGGCCCCTGGCCATCATTCTCCGGTGAGTCAGCTTGGTGTTCCGTCACGGCCGGCATCAGGAGCAGGCTGATGGCAGCGTTAGCTACCGACAGCGTCCCGAGCGCGTAGAACGGAGCCCCGTAGCCGCCGATCGAGTACATGGCACCGCCGAGGGCCGGGCCGAGGCACGAGCCCGCTCCGTACATTCCCTCCACGAGACTCATGGCCGAGTTCATCCTCTGCGGGAACTGGTTGATGATAATTGAGCGCACTCCAGTCAGCACTGCCGCCGTACCAACGCCCTCGACGGCTCGCAGTGTCATGCTGGACGCCAGGAACGCCGTATGGTTCTCCACGTAGACGAGTAGACCGTAGACCACCAGGATGACCCCAGTCAACAGCAGGCCGACTCTGTAGAGCGTCACCACGCCGATCCGCGGCGCCAGCCAGCCCATGGCCCAGAACCCCAGCGCGAGGGAGAACGCGTGGCAGCTGAAGACTGAGCTCGCTGAGGCATTGCTCAGGCCACGACGATCAGCTTCTGTTGTGATGAGTAGTATGTGTGTGTTTGGACCGGCGCCGGTTAGAAAATTGCTAGCCGAGAGGCATGCCAACAGTTTCACTTGAGACCAGCAGGTGCGCTCAGGGATAGTTGATGATTGGCCATCAGCAGCGGATGAAGAGTTGTTAGATCCGGACTCGATCTCGCTGTTTCTTGATAACTCTTGTTTTCCTGAAACAGTACCGTCCTGAAAATACGCCTTTGCACTTTCCTGTGTCGTTGTAAGAAGCAGTGGCGAGTTTTCTGACTGTTCTACTGTGAACAAACTTTTTGGTAGCTGTTTAGAGACCACCATGACTCTCCAACGCTGGGCCACTGATTTAGCAGCCGACAACACGGAAGAAGACAGAAGAGTGACGGCGGCTGGGGCACATTCCCTCTGTTTCACCTCCTGTATGTCACAAAAATCTCACAGGTAGCAGGGCACGTGACACACGTGACGCTCCTCCATTGTATTTTCGGACCCATTGTCGAGCTGTGCGTAAGCTACTGCGCACGCCACTGTTACGGAGCGAGCGGAGCGATCGAAGTCTAAGTAGTTAGAATAGGTATGCTATTAATAACCTTATGCTCATATTAGTAATTATATTCAAAAAGAAAAGTACAAATTAATATATTTCGACTTGCGCCTTCATCAGAATAACTGATATTCTGATGAAGGCGCAAGTCGAAATATATTAATTTGTACTTTTCTTTTTGAATATAATTACTAATATGAGCATAAGGTTATTAATAGCATACCTAATAATTACATTCATAATGCTCAAAAGTGCCATTGCAAGATTACAATCACTTGAACAAGATAGTTAGAATAGCATAAATTTCTGAGTATGAGGGGCCGGCCGTGGTCACGCTGTTGCGAAACTTATATCTCCGCAACCACTGTAACAATTTACTTGCAGAAGTTTTTATAGCCGGTAGCTACATTCCTTCTACCAAGTATTGAACTATTACCGATGCATGTGTGTGACCTCGTATGCACGTGCCAACTGCCACGCCACGTGCAAAACGAAGCGGTGTCAGTTTTGCAACAATTGCAATATCTCTGTAATTACTGGGCCAATGGCCATGAAAAATGGCATGAAGGCAGGCACCCATTCCTGTGTCACGGTTAGGGTGCCGCTGCACGTGCGCACGTGCAGGGGACGTTGCCAGATCTCAAGAACGGCAGAATCGATTGCGCTCAAATTTGGTACACGGCTAGGGACCGGTTAGTAGGGTGCAGTGCAAGTCAGTTGGGACCCAGTTAACACGTGCGCACGTGAAGGGTGCCGCTTCCAGATCTCGAAAACGGCTGGGCCGATTGCGCTCAAATTTGGCACATCGCTAGAGACCAGTTACTCAAGTTAGTAGGGTGCTGTGCATAAGTCATTTTGAGGTACCCACTCGCAATTCCGCACGTGCAAGGCTCACCCTCTCGCTCGCCAGTTTGTCGCCCCCCAAAGGCGTTTTACTGGTGAATAATGAAAATACATACCTAATAGGGTGTGTCGACAGAGGGGTTTTTCTCACAGATTCGCGTTAGACAAAGATATAAATTGGCGGGAGCATGCCAAAACACTAGCCCTGCAGTTGGTTTTGCGTAAAAATGCGATTTGACGAGGCTCGGGCAGGTCGAAGTTACAGCGAAAAAGTCGCAGTCGACGGTGCTGCCACCTACATTGCCAATAACGGGCACTATCATATCGTTATAATTGGGGTAGTTTCAAATGAGAAATGAGTCCATGGGCGGCGCCACCGGGGGGGACGGGGGGGACAGGTCCCCCGCTATCGAAAGTTAGGGGGGTACAGTACCCCCCTATCGGCGAGGCCCGTTCAGTTGTTGATAATAATGCATTGTAGAGTTATCCGTCGCATTTAATGCATCGTTGGTTAATCAAGGCAGGTTCTGAATAAGCCATTGCTGTTGGGATGTATCGCAGGGGGTCCTGGCCATCTGCAAAAGGTGTGGAGCTGTGATGCCTGTAGTTATAAGGTAATCGGCAGGGCCTCGGGGATCGTGCCCCCCCCCCCTTTTGTGGCGCCAGGCAGGGTTATTACCTCCCCACCCCACTGCCAGACCCCATTGCCGACAAAATCAAGTTCACTGAAATTCCATAGATTTCCGTTACTATATGGATATTTTCCATTCCTAATAAGTCAAATTCAAGCATGGCAGTTCTACCACAGGAACCATTTGAAATCTATGCCATTCAACCCCAGCACTTGTGGGGAGAAGTGTTCGGATAGATCAGAGGCAGGACCAAAAAAGCACGCAGTAGCACAAGACCATATAATTGGATAGCATCGGCTCCCTCTCGTCAAGGGATTCGATAGCACTCGTTTTTTCTGCAAAACTAAGTTCGGTCGGCGGCCGACCGAACGGCTAGGGGTCTAATCGAGCCCCCCACCCCTCCCCTTCTTACGTCAGCGGCTGTGAAAATGCCATTACCAGCTGTTGAAACATGGCAGTTGCTTTTGCATGAGTGCACGAAAGGGTTTTAGGTACGTGAGACGTGAAAGGTTCTACATGAAAATTGAGATAACCCAGCTTATCAAATTGTGCTCACTGTGGTGCGCTCGGTTTTACCTTGACTGGTCTTTGAATTCTGGGGTGAAACAGACCAGTCAAGAAACCTGTTCCATAAGGAGAGCCACTAATGCTAAAGAGATGAGGGATGAGGTTTCCAGAGACCTTCATTACCTCCCAAAGGGTGTACCCCGCCATTTGCCAATCCCTGCTGTAGGTAGTTGTTACGATTGGAGAGTTAATATGAGAACGATACAGGTCGCGCCAGCTCGATCATGACGAACACAATGGTGCCGACATCACAGCTCTACTGCCATTTTTGACGAAGTTAATCAACAAGGACCGGAATCCTACCCTGGGGCATTTCACCTGCAGAGGTCGCCGGACCTGAGACCCTTTCACTCATTGTTTTTCAACGGTGCATGCGCTCGTTTTTCCCGCGAAGCTCTTGGCAAGTAAAATCCATCAGAAAGTGTGATCAAATAACGGCTGGTGACCTTCCATGACCTAGCATGACCTTTTGAGTGCCCACCGATGACATGACCACTGGGCACTGACGGCTAGCCATTAGCTGCACCCTGCCCGTTGCATGTGGATCAGGTGGTGATGTCATGATTCTGAAATTATATTGCAGTTTTGGCGCACTTGTCAGAGCAGAAGACATTCCCACTTTTCCTCCATGACTATATAATGGTGAAGCCCTGAAGCTGACCAAACGTAAGATCGAAAATTTGAAAGTACGAAACGTAAGAATAGTTGGCACTGCTACTCATACCTGAGCAATTCGCAGCTTGTAGGAAACCAGCTTTGAGTTGGCAAGACTGCAAATTTTGATTTAGAGGCAAGGATGCTTGAAAAGGTGATCGATCTTAGGTGTCCTAGGATAAGTTTGGAAACAGGATGCACGATTCGATGTGTTTTGGGCTTTGCCAAGTTTCGCGGCGTTACGTGCCTCGTTTTTTTTTTTTTTGCATACACGATCAGTATCTACCTACTTTTGGGATTTTCGAGTTTCGGTCCCCGTCCCCCCCTATCGAAAACCCGTGGCGCCGCCCCTGGAAATGACTTCTATTTTTGTTCAAACTGCTTAAGAAGAAATAAAACAATTCGGAAACATACATTTTTCCCAAATATCGCGTTCCATTTTTCCTGTTGAGTTGTTAGGAAAGTGGTAAATTTCAAGGTTGACGGCTAAAAACGAAACAGGAGGAACAGAGCAGGAATCACCAAGACGTGCGCCGCGCCGATGCTGTAGCCTGTAGATAAGGGGTGAGCAACAGAACCAGCATACCTAACGATTTTGATTAGTGATATATATTTTTCTCTAAATGAAAGACTATTAGTAAATCAGGCAAGCCTTCTAATATAGGTATCGACAGGGTTGCGGTAAAAGGTACAATCGATGGCACATTACAATTATTCTGAGTTGGGAAACAACACTCTTCAGATACCTACCATCAACAACCTCACTATCTCCTATATGGGAGCTATTTCATCTGATTCCAGCGCCCTGAAAACAAACAGGTTATCATAAAAAAATATCTGTATTAGCGCCTACCGACATATGCTGAATGACGCTATCAATACCCGACATTTGTAAAAGGTGATTCGCCACACAGCCCGCCGGCATCTGAGGGGTTGAATCAGTGAGCCAGATTGCCAGCGACTCACCGCTGAACTACCGGGCGTAACAAAACGGACGATGCGACATGACTCAGAGATCATCACAGACGCGACGGTAAGCCGCCAACAGCTCCTCTGATGTACCTATGCTTTAAAAATGTTGGCCAAAATTTAAGATCTATGTTATCTAGTGCTAATATTTGGGTTTTCGGTTTTTCTAATCCCCTCTATTTCACGGATTGTTTGAAAAAAAGCTAGAGGGTTTCTTTTTACCGATGTCAAGTGGTTTTAGTTCAAAAGATTGGTGGTGCTGCTACTGGCAACAGTATTGGCGCAATATAACCGTTCTTTAGTCACCATGTCAATAATATTGACACAATCAATGACAACCGACTCTCACTGAATGTGTCTTCCTGTGTTCCGCAGGAAGCTGAGCTGTGACTGACTGGCCATTGCGTGTCATCAGTTCGGCCAGTAGCGGCGGAATACCTTCAATTAAGGGGGGCACTGCCGACTTTTGGTCCCATTCATTCCATGCAACGCCCATAGGGCTAATGTTAAAATGCCAAAATCAAAGGGGGCACGGTGCCGCGGTGCCCTCCCCGTTCCGCCGCCTATGAGTTCGGCTTGACAAGGGAACCGCGAGGTGGCAGATAGCTGGACCATATAATCACAAACTGCGCCGACCTGAGTGACTCAGTGATGGTACTAGCTGACACCCTGAGTGACCATCAGCCCGTAATCTGCTCCGTACCGCTGACGAGGATCCGTAAAGCACCAGTCATCCGTGAGACCAGACGATGGGAGCGGGCAGATTGGGATCGCATTTGTCTCGATTTGTTGCTTACGGACTGGACACCAATGTTCGATGCGCCAGATGTTAACGGAAAGCTGAGTATTTTTATGCGCGCATGGAATGATATCATCAACCGGCATTGTCCAGTGATGCGAGTGAAGTCTTATCGTGCGGGGCCTTGCCCGTGGATTCAAGACGATCCAGAGCTTCGTGAACTGATGTTGAAGCGCGATCAGGCTCGTGACAATTGGCTCATGTTCCGATCGAATGATCTCCGACGTGAGTACTGTGCCCTACGTAACTCGGTCAAGAGCAGACTCGTACGTGCGCGAAAAGAATTTTTGTGTAGTCAGCTAGCAGCTAAGGACTTCCGTGGGTTCTGGAGTCGCTTCAATTTGTTTGCTAAGAATGCATCGGCTGGTGATGGCGCTGCTACGTCATTAGATCTTGATGTCGCTCAAGCTGACAATTTTAATGATTTCTTTGCTAATGTCGGCGCCAAAATTGCATCTAAATTGCAGTCTACTGGTCAGGCTGAGGGGACTGACGATCGTCCCCCAGTAGTATGCGCCACCGGTTTTGAGCTGACGCCTATCACTCTGCCGGAGCTCTCAACAGCCGTGCGTCACATGAGTAGCTCCAGGGCTGTTGGTATGGATGGTGTGCCAATTTTAGCTGTGCGTCGCTGCTTCGCCGTTATTGGACCATTGCTGCTTCATGTGATTAATAAGTCGATTGTTACTGGTGTGTTTCCTGATAGCTGGAAAATAGCTTGTGTGGTCCCTATTCATAAGGCTGGCGACCGTGGTGTAGCTGGTAATTACCGGCCTATCTCTTTACTGCCTGTCATGTCTAAAATCGCTGAGCGTGTAGTGTGTACCCAGTTGAGTGATTATTTGTATGACAACCGTCTACTGAGCGCATGTCAATACGCTTACCGCCGTGGCCACTCCACGGAGGACGCCGTACTCGACGCAGTATCGTGGGCCGTTGATAAGATCGACAACGGTGAGCTCACGTCGATAACGACGATCGACCTCAGTAAGGCCTTCGACAGTGTTGACCACGGCGTCCTCTTGAAAAAAATGGCATGGATGGGTGTGCCTTCACATTGGTTCGACAGTTACCTAAGCGGACGGGGGCAAATGGTACGTGGTGGGTCCAAGATCTGTCCTGTGAACTTCGGTGTTCCTCAGGGATCTATTGTGGGACCTATTTTGTTCAGCATATTTGTGGCAGATCTTCCGGGACATCTTCCCTACGGCCGTTTGGTTTGCTATGCGGACGACACGCAGCTCCTCGACAGCTCGCCGCCAGACAGTGAGAGTTTGTCACAGCTCAGAAAGCGCATAGAAAAGTCAATGGCTTCCGTTCAAAACTGGTTTAGAAGTAATTCTCTAAAATGAATGCATCAAAAACAGATTTCATCCTCCTTGGCTCCAGAAACTCGCTTCAAAAAGCATCTGGTTTCGCTTTCACGTTCTCAAACAGAACCTTTCATTCTTCAAAAACGATCAAACTTCTTGGTGTAACTGTTGACCAGACGTTAACATGGAATCAACACATCTCATCAGTTGTGCGCCGTTGCTACAGCATATTGATTTCGCTTTACAGATTCAGGCGTAGCTTCACTACCGAGGCCCTGCTTACTATTATCAAAGCTCACATCTTCCCTCAAATTATCTACTGCTTACCAGTTTGGGGCGGAGCTGCCGACAAAGAACTTAAGCGACTGCAAAAAATGATTAACTTTGCGGCTCGTTTGGTGACCGGTTCGAAGCGCCGTGATCACATCACACCAGTTCTTAAGTCGCTCCACTGGTCACGGATTGGCGAGCTGGTGGAGGAGCGTGATCAACTGAAGGTGCACCGCGCAATCTGCGATCCCCATGCACCAATCGTGGTACAAAACATGTTCAAACGTCGATGTGATGTGGCGACTCGTGACACGCGCCTGACAGATACAGAGCAGGTGCACCTACCGAAAGTGCGGCTTATTGCCACTCAAAAACACTTCATGTACAGGGCTGGCTCGGCATGGAACCGGCTGCCCCGAGAGATCCAAGGCATGTCCAGCATATTTGTTTTTAAGCGGGCGATCAGGCCACCACGAAATGTATAGTTTGATGCTGAAGTGGTCTAAGGTGTTGCCTTGGTCCTGTTTTCTCTTTTTCTCCTCTTGAGTGAACTCGAACGCGGGTCGAGGAAAGTGCATGTGCATTGTGCATAGTGGTTCCCTGATCATGTGCCATCCTGAAATAACTATGCCTGCATGGAAGGATGTGCAACAAATAAATAAAATAAATAAATAAATATTACGTATCTGAAAGAGGGTTCCGCACGAGCTCAGATGGGGCGGGGTGGGGCACGACACCTGGCGGGCTGCTGGGATCGTGCTGCCGATCGAGCCCCTGTTGCCCGCCCGCGCGCCGCCGTGGGAGGTGGCCGCCTGCCCACACGTCACATTCTCCCTGGACATCGGAGCGCTGCACAGCGGGACGCCCAACCTGACGAACTGCACCAGGCGGCGAAGAAACACCTAGCGTCCCTCCCCCAGCAAGCCATCTGGGTTTGGACGGATGGGTCGGCGGATGCGGGAGTCCGCAGCGGAGGAGCAGGAGCCTTTGTGGAGTGGCCGGACGGTGCAACCGACGAGCTACGCGTCCCTGCCGGTCAACTCTGCTCGAGCTTCAGGGCGGAGATGGTCACACTCCGCGCGGCCCTGAACCACCTGCGCGACCACCCGCACCAGCCGAGCGCGCCGATCACCATCTGCTCGGATTCGCAGTCGGCCCTCGCGACGCTGAGAGAGGGCCCGGCGTCCCAGAAGACCCTGCTAGGAGCCGCCATCTGGACCGAACTAGCGGCCCTGGCCGGTCCGTCCCGCCGGATCCACCTACAGTGGGTGCCGTCCCATTGCGGCGTCGACGAAAACGAGCGCGCCGACCAGATCGCCAAGGAGGCGACCGCGCTCCCCCAGGCGGCGGTCCCGGTGGACGTCGCTACCGCCCACCGCGCGGCCGCCAGACTGGCCCGCGACCGCACCATCGCCGCCTGGCCGGAGGGCTGGTACCGGACCCTGATGGAGAACCGGCTGCCGCCGCCGGCCGCGACGGGGGACAGATCGTCGGCCGTCGACGTCCACCAGCTCCGCGCGGGCCACTGGTCAGGATCCCGCCAATACCTCCACCGGATTGAACGGAACCCTTCCGACGATCGCCGCCAGTGCCCTGACATCGACTGTGCGGCGGGCCGGTGCACCGTGTGCCGGGAGGAGGCCACACGCCCCGGCACTTCTTCTTCCGGTGCCCGGCCCTCATGGGCTGGCGTCTCCGGATGTACGGAACGATTTTCCTGAACCCGGAAGACGTCCGCGACGACGGAGAGGTGGCGGCCCTGGCGGCCGCCGTGAGGGACCTCCAGAGCCGCACGGCTACACCGCGGTGACGCGGCTGGAGGGAACACACAACAACAACAACAACAGCTCAGATGGCCTTCGGTTACATTTTTCGTTGCGTCTGTGATGATCTCTGAGTCATGTCGCATCGTCCGTTTTGTTATGCCCGGTAGTTCAGCAGTGAGTCGCTGGCAATCTGGCTCACTTATTCAACCCCTCAGACGCCGGCGGGCTGTGTGGCGAATCACCTTTTACAAATGTCGGGTATTGATAGCGTCATTCAGCGTATGTCGGTAGGCGCTAATATAGAGATTATTGGTAATAACCTGTTGGTTTTCAGGGCGCTGGAATCAGATGATATAGCTCCCATATAGGAGATAGTGAGGTTGTTGATGGTAGGTATCTGAAGAGTGTTGTTACCCAACTCAGAATAATTGTAATGTGCCATCGATTGTACCTTTTACCGCAACCCTGTCGATACCTATATTAGAAGGCATGCCTGAGTTACTAATAGTCTTCCATTTAGAGAAAAATATCTATCAGTAATCAAAATCGTTAGGTATGCTGGTTCTGTTGCTCACCCCTTATCTACAGGCTACAGCATCGGCGCGGCACACGTCTTGGTGATTCCTGCTCTGTTCCTCCTGTTTCGTTTTTTAGCCGTCAACCTTGAAATTTACCACTTTCCTAACAACTCAACAGGAAAAAATGGAACGCGATATTTGGGAAAAATGTGTGTTTCCGAAAAGTTTTATTTCTTCTTAAGCAGTTTGAACAAAAATAGAAGTCATTTCTAATTTGAAACTACCCCAATTATCACGATATGATAGTGCCCGTTATTGGCAATGTAGGTGGCAGCACCGTCGACTGCGACTTTTTCGCTGTAACTTCGACCTGCCCGAGCCTCGTCAAATCGCATTTTTACGCAAAACCAACTGCAGGGCTAGTGTTTTGGCATGCTCGCGCCAATTTATATCTTTGTCTAACGCGAATCTGCGACTATCGACACACCCTAATACCTAATCCTGTCGTGTTCTTAACCCGCGCCCCACTGGGGTCTGCGTATACCACGCCCTACTGGGGGGGGGGGGCTCTTCATAGCCTCCCCCACCCCTCCTAACTCCGAAACTACTGGGGCGACCGTCAAAATTCAAACGGCGTCTGATAGCCCCGGAAAAACTGTCGAGCGAAACCTAATTTCATTGACCTCGAGGTCACCGATGACGTCACAGGTCAGGTCAAAGTAAAAATTATTAGCATTTTGGCTTATTCACATTTTGGGCTCTAGCCGCCGTCTTACAAGTCAGATCATGCTCATTTCGGTTTACACACTCGTGAACAGATGCTTTAGATACCCTGAGGGTACCAAACTTGTACTTTGATTTTGAGGTCAGGGTCAGGTCATCCTAGGTCACGGAAATATTATATCATGCGTCAGTCACGTGACACATGTTTTATGGTCCATTTAGGCCATATATTTCGAATTTAATGTCGTTTGTGTCATTCGAGATTGTTTTGAGCTGAATTTAGCTTAGGTCAGGTCATGTTCAGGTCATAAAAGGGCAAATTTTGAAGTTGAAATTTTTCAACAAAAAGGGTGTCTATTGGCTCGGCTCTGGCTCTGGCTCTATAGGCTCGCTCGCATGCGAGCCTTTGAACCTTTTCTGAGGTAATGTCACTTGACGTGGCCTGGTAACCTACCTTGAACGACCCGAGTCTGAAATTTTCACATGCATGCGGAAATGATGTATGAACGGGTGTACCAAAACCAGCGGCCCTGCGCGCCGCCGTTTTTAAGATAACTTTTTGAGAAATCCTGATGGATTTCTCCTGATCCTGATGGATTTTGAGAAATCCTCATGGAGAAATCCAAAGCCCCGGCACTATTGTGCCGGGGCTTTGTCCCCCCCCCCCCCTCCAGCCCCCCTCCGCCTCCTACGCCTCTGAATAGTGCCATCGAGATCCACTCCTCAATCTGCATTGAAATGCTGACCTGAAAATGCGGTTGGGGTCATAAGATCCGGCTTGAATCAAAGGTGAGGCATGCGAAGTTTCAGCTCTCTATCGCTGGCGTGTTCCGAGCTATCCTATCACGAAAAAGCTACGCCCCCCCCCCCCCCGGCCCCCCGGGCCGGCGCGGCGGCGAGCAGCATCGCCGATCGTCTTTTGTTGCCGAGTAGTGAGCTTAGATGGCGCCACTAAGCGGACGATGGCGGTGGCGCTGCTGACACGTTCGTGTCCCGAAGCCTTAGTTTAATTTCTGACGGAGAGGGGGCGTACCGATCGAGACGATGTAAAGGCTATTCGCAATGTACCGAAATGTTATAACTTTGGAAATAGGTATGTTTGGATGCGCTGTCTGAAAATGCCCTCGGGTTGTGTCATTATTCGTAAAAAGTAAAACTGTGTTTTTCTATTGCTACACATGCATGACTTTGCGGTATTTATATTTTTAATTTTCGATAACCCAGTTGACTGTGATGGGGCTCTACAGAGCCGCGGGACCCCTTCCCCGTCTCCTACCTCCGAATGCAAATTGGAGGCTGGAGAAACTGTCTGAGAAAACCTAATTAATGATTTCATTGGCATCGAGGTCACCGATGACGTCACATGTCAGGTCCAGATAAAGTTTATCAACATTTTGGCTTTTTCACAATTTTTGGACCCCGCCTCTGGCCGGCGGCCTACATCTCACATTAAGCTCATTTTTGTTGAGGTGGACCCCTACACTTAAGTACGCTTACATCTCACATCTTTAGCTCATTCGTGTATATGCCTAAAATACCCTGCGGGTACTGAACTTGTAGGTACTTCGAATTTTTCAGGTCAAAACTAGGTCAGGCACTCACGTAAATGTTATATCATGAATTCACAAATGTTTTATGGTCCATTTCGGTCAGAGATTTCGAAATCAGTGTTGGCTGTGTCATCTGAGGCCATTGTGCACGCGGCCGAAGGACGACAGTTTCGTGTCAATACGTTCAGCAGCCTAGAAGATATTGCAGAAAAACGAGAGGGCGCTCTGTAGAGCCGCCCCCCCCCCCCCGTCATGCGCATGTTAAAGTTACGGAAGCTGTCCCGCTCACTCGAATATCTGTTTGCTTAACCCTCGCATGTGTGCGGCGTTTGCCAGCTTCTAATGTGTAGGGGGGGGGGGTCGGTTGGACCCCCCCCCTTGCCGTTTGGCCCCTGATCGAGCTAGAGCTTCGCGGAAAAAACGAGCGTGTTGCCCGTGACGAGAGGAAGCCGATGATACCCAATTTTAAGGTCCTAGGTCATTGGTTGACCTTCCAGGTCAGGTCAATGACCCAAAGTCGGGAAAATCGGGACCTGTTATAAAGTCGTAAAGTGTGGCTGCTAAGGGGTTTTTCGGGGTGCTGATCACGAATATCGTGTTAGTTTTGATCACAGATGATGTCTTGAAGCATTTAGACCAGGTCGGGTCAGGTCAGGTCAGGTCAACCAGTAGGCGTCGTGACGGGTATTCGTAGTACGTGTCAACCGCCTCTGACAGCTTCGTAACATGTTACGAAGGCACCAAAACTACTTCGTAAATGTTCAAATGGTTGCTAAATTCGAATTCAGCTCCAAAAACTAGCCTAGAAACATGTAAAACTCGAAAAAGTGAACCGAGGTCACCCGAGGTCACCAAAGGTCAATGACCTGACCTAACCTTCAGGTGACCTTGACACACACGGGAGTAACATCATATCACATGTTTGAACGTTTGAAACCACGAAAAGCTTGCAAACACGCGGCTAGTGCGAGCCGACATACGCGAAATCGCGATTCCGGCCAAACATGGTCTCGGAAAAGAGGTCACAGGTCAAAGGTCATTTGGGTCAGGGTCATGAAATTTTCAGGGTAGGTGTCCAATTGATCAATGCGAGGGTACTGAAAGTTTCGTCGCGATCGGCCGCTTTTTACGCGAGTTATTCGCGAAAAACCATGGGGGGGGGTCCATCCGACCCCCCCCCCCCTACACATGCGAGGGTTAACCCACGCCGGGGATGGAGGGGGTGCTTGGACACCCCCCCCCCTGCGGTTTTCGCAGATATCTAAAAAATACCTGTTCATGCATCTTTTCCGCACATGTTGTGAATTTTTTAGACCCAGTTCGTACAAAGTTCCCTACTAACCAGTCGCTAAAGTTGTTGCAAATTGGCTCCACAGCCGTTCTCGAGACGTGGAAGCGACAATGACCCGCATGTCGAGTTTCAGCGCAACCCCCCAGTAATCGCCTTGCAATGGTATCATTCTTGATTACTTGACACCTTTTAATTTTGCATTTGGGACGTGCTGTACCTATCGGTAGGGCTGCCTCATGAGTCATGACGCAGTCACAAATCGTGCGCTTTTTCTGACCATGTGCACGCATTGTCGCATTAGCATGTAACCTCAGGTCCTTAATCAGTCCTCGAACCATAAAGCGCTGACTTGACGATGAACCACTTATCCGTCTCACCATCAATTACAGTACAGGTCAAGCGGAAATGACACTTCCGTCGGAAACCGCACTGACTTGAAGACGCGACACTAATTGACGGACAGCCGACGTGAAATTTGATTCATTAGTTCGACGTTGCGTCAGTTTCAGGTGGGGAGGGTCGGCAGAATTTCCTCGTGGCGCAGCTCACGGGCTGGATCCCGGCAGAAAGTTGACCTTGGTGACCCCGCGTGACCTCGTTTGACCTCGTCTGGTCGTCACTGTGTAACCTCAATGATACGCGTAGGACCACACTGTGTCACTGCTTGGCGTAGGGATAGTGATTGCTAGGTGTCTCTGTGTTCCTGTGTGTGA